TCTTTTTTTTTTTTTCCTTCTCTTGTTCATTAGAGGAATTTTGAGTATTGTTTTCCCAAAATACAGTAGTAATTATGTTTATTTGGGTTTTGTTATGTAGCTTACACGGTTGATCAAGTAGATGAATTAACAAAAGAGTTTCGTCAACTTGTGACTATGATTACTGTAGAAAATGATGTTTCTTCTATAAAGGTAATTTTTTTTATAATGCTATTTGGGATATGATGGATAGAATGATGCTCTTTCTAATTGCTATTTGAGGAAATATTTGGTTTCAATAGCCTATTTTGCGTAATTTATTGATCTTTTGAAGAAGAATTTAATTCAAAAACAGCCCCTCAACAATTTATCTCAAATATAGGCTTTTATGTATTGAGACAGAGAGAATTGAAGTGGTGGTGAAGAATGCACAAGGTTGAGCATCTGTTGTTCAACCCCAAATTTTCCAAATTTAGGAGAGAATATTAATAAAGGTGTTCATAGAGCCCAAACACAAACAAATAATAAAACAATTGGAAAAATATGATTCAGACATGAAAGAAGCTGAGCTAGACATATTATATTATCTACTACTTTTATTTTATTTTTATACACTAAATCCTTATAATTCTTTGTTATCTCAAATTTTAAGTTTTTTCATTCTTGTCTTAAACAGAAGTACAAGGCATTGCTTTATTCAGCCGCTATGACAGGTAAAACACAATTACAATATCATTTTCTTTGTAGCTAGCTCAATTTATTATTACTACCAAAATAGAGCTAGATGCTTTAACTGCCTAAGACACCATATAGTTCATGGATAATTACATGTTAGGGGGTGGGGTGGGGTGCATAGTTACATGTAACCTATGTACCAAAATTTTGGGGTGTGATTGCTTGATATTTTTGCTAACATTTTTATATTTATGCAAGAAACACAGTAGAATTAAAGAAAAGGTTGAACTTTGGGGGGTGTGGGCGTACCCCCTCATATCCATTCTTGGATATTTATACACTTTACAACACTTATAGCTCATAGTGACATTTTATTAAAGTATAGTTAGTTTGTTTTTTTGTCAAAACTCAAAAGACACGCCCAAATCATTCTTGCAGTAAATGTTACTATGTTAATGTCTGCAATACTCAATGTTACATCACTTTTATAAATTTGAACATACAATATAATACTCGGTAAGATATAAAAGTAGAAAATGAGCTCATGTGCACAGCTAGTGTACGTCATCAGTATTTGTTTCCTAGGATTTGGCATTGAGGAGTCATAGTCCATTTTGCGTACCACTATCTGTATATAGTGGGCATCGCCAACTTTCAGCAATCAGTCACTTAACATTTGTAATTTAGTCGATTAACATTCTCCAAGTTTGTGAGTATTACTTTTAAAGACTTCTACCCTTCCTACCCATGCATTTTGGTTTTAGCTACCAAAAAAATAAACTCCTTGAACTATCTAGTAGCTATTACTTAATATTGGCAACTGATTTTTTTTAGGGGGTGGGCCAGTCTCTTGCAGTAGTACAACACATAAATGACTCATGAATATCCCAATAGCAAGCTATTGTGGTGGATCCTCCCCTTGTCAAAAAATTGATGTAATATCGTGTGAGGCATTGCCCCATGTATCAAATATTAAATTGATAAGAATAGAAACTACACTTGATCTTAGCCAAAGGTTGAGTATCTTACGTTCAATATTTTGACAATACTGTAACTTTATTAGGTTAGGACTTGACCCAACTTAGAAATCACAGTCCTTGTATTGCTCTTTCATTACATTGTGTATATATATATGACCTTCAGCTTTATTTTTTTTAATAAAGGTTTGATGCCTATATGATTATAATATCATTACAATTATATATATAACTAAATTGTTTTTAGTTAAATTTTTCTCTGATTTTAGTTCCTGCTAAATGCATTGACACATACTTGGATCTTAGGAGATCGGTTGAAGAGATTGGTCGGGTGTTTATTGTGTCTGAACTTGTCTTTTATTTTTTTGTAAGGTTGTTAGTGTAGTTATTAATCTTTCTTTTTTTATTCACATGTATGTAGGATCTTGCAGATCCTATTTCAGACAAGCTTCTTCCAAATTTGGATCCACTAGAGCAGAAATTTGGTCTCAAAACAATTGTTTTGGATCTGAATGAGACTTTGATATGCTGTAATTGGAAGGTAAGCTCTCTTTTCATACACCATGACCATCGACAACTCTAAGTATCATTATATGGTGCTCTCTCTCTTTATGGTTTTCTAAAATAACAGTTAAATTCTAATAGTCATATACCATACCCACACACCGTTTTTTCTTTACCTTCCTCATTTATTGTTTCCATGGAAGTGATGGGCTAATAGTTTTGTTACTTGATTCTTAGTAACAGTTCCATTCTTTGAAAAGATTTTATTATAGTCAGTTGATTTTCTTATTATAATTGAAAGTTAATATGCTATATTTTTGTCTATTACAGCGTGAAAGAGGCTGGAAAATCTTCAAAAGACCAGGACTTGATGTTTTCTTAGATACAATTTCAAATTTTTTTAAAGTTGTTATCTATACTGACATGATGGCTGAAGTAATGTTTTAATCTTCATAATTTGTTTTGATATTTCACTTTAAAATTTTTGATGGATTTTGTTGGTTGTAGGATATATCACAAATAATTCATCAATTGAACCACGGGGGTGCCATATGTCACGTTCTATCGAGGTCTGGTACAAAATATCATAATGGAAAATACTATCGGGTGAGTATAATATACACGAACAAATGTAATACAAAACTTTTATCTGATATCTTATTTAGAATTTCTTATTGTTTCTATTGGTATATTCTGTTGTTTTTGTAACAGCACATATATTTATCATGCCCTTATACATGCATATGAAGTATGTAATCTAATAAAGCAGGGATACAGATGTGTCATGTGTGGTATACTTACGAACACAATGACTAAATTCTGAAACCCTAGGGCAAATGTATAGCACGGACACTCCTCCAGTAAAAATTTGATTTCATCTATGGCAAAGTGGGATTTTACATGGAACCCTAATGTCACTGCTTAGCAATGCATTAAGTAGCATGATACTGACTTACAAATGCTCCATGCTACAAAGACACGGAATCCCATTTTCAAAATGTAATCAACCAAACGTATGCAACCTTTTACCTATCATAAAGGGCAAACACAACTTTAAAGGTCGGAGAAATCGTTTAAAGTTAGTTTTCTGAATAGAAAATCCTTTCATTTCTATCATTCCAAGTAACCCATAGCAATATATGACAAGGAGCAATGTCCTTTTGAAGGAGGGTTGCCACTTAGGTAGCTAGCTTCATACTAAAACAGTTATGAACTGTAGTTGGTTATTTAAATGAAATTTAATTGCAGGACTTGTTCAAGTTGAATAGAGATCCTTCAAGGGTTATTTATATCAGTGGGCATGCACTTGAAAATGCTCTTCAGCAAGAAAATTGTGCTCCAATTAAACCTTGGAAGCTCGAAGAAGGTGATACAACACTTATAGATCTCCTTCCGTTCCTTGAGTGTAAGTAATTTCCTCTTTTGCATATTTAACAACTTTCTTTAATTCAGCTCGAATTTTGGGAATGTATTGATTGTCTATCTTATTGGGTCCAATAATCAGTTGTTGCTCGTCAAGGATCTGTTTGCCCTGATTTGAGACAAATATTACAATCTTACAAAGGAGCAGATATCTCCACCGAATTCGCGAAGTGTCAAAGGTAATCTTGCATGTATTTATTTGTTTCACATGCTCAGTTGCCATGGAGAAAGGGAGGAACCAGAAACTGATTTGCAGTTCCCGAAATTTTTTTTTTTATTCATGCAGCCTATTCTCTTCATCAATGTAGTTTGCTTCAGACATAATATATCTTACTGGATGTGTCTCATTTTAAATATACTTCTTAATGTTGTAGGGAAATGCTAGAGAAGCCAAAGAAAAAGTCTGCAAGACTTGAAGGTTGAACTAAACTCGGAACGTGAATAGGAAGATAGAGAGCCTTTTACTTGTAAGCTAGAAGGGATTGGCAAGGAAACAATTTATGCATTTATATCAGGTTTGCTCATTTTTTGGTGTAATTCATATGCTTTTTCAATTAGTATTATATTTATATAATGTTCTGTAGCAAAGTGGTTACTATATAGGGTTGGATTCAGTATGATATAAATGTTTCTTTTTATTTGGTTTGCTGCTTTTATTGCAAATGACAGTATCCTTCTTTGGTACCTAATTTATAAGTCATACATGAGAAAAAGGCGCAAATTGTAAACCAACTGAACAAATGTGCATCTAACCGGGGGTTTGGATCCTAAAACACTAAAGGCAATTCACAAACATTGCTACACTATCACAAATTAACAATTCTTTAATAGATCATGGAAAAAATTCCAACTTGTGAACCAGTTGCTGGGAAGAGGAATGACTTTATATATTTACTATGTCACTGCAACATACTTTATGTGCTAAGTGCAATCCATGTTATCAGTTATATTAACTAGGAAAGTGACCCAGGTCCAGGTTTTCATCTCTGGTAACATCCCATAGTTTAAGAGAATGTATGTTAAAGACACCATTATTGTTGCAATCGCCATTGCCTTCTTATTATATGGATTAACTTGTTAATAGATGGAATCTTGAGAAATCAAGCACCAAACAAACAAGGTTATTATGTTAAATCATACACAAAAAATCCAAACTCCTCACGCTAGGGATACGAGGAGCAAACTCCTCTTGCAAGGGATACAAGAGGGTTGGGAAAAGTGCTTACCTTCCCCTCTTAGACGATTGATCAAGTGAGTGATGAAATGCTACACCATGATGTCAATATAGACTAG